AACTGTACTTGATTGTTTGTTTTGTTTTTTGAAGAGAACAAAATGAACCAATCAAGAACTGATTGAATAATAAACACTGCTTAATGTTAATAGACATTAATGTTGTGTTGATGGGATGATCAGAGCCTTGTGGACAGAGTCACAGGTTGTTTCATTAAACTGTCCAGCATTAGATCAGAATTAAAAGCTCCACCTTGAACAGACATTAGCCAAATGTCGGTACACTGTCCTGATAAAACCTCTTTCCCTCCTCATTCCTGAGTATGAACATTAATGCAGGACTTAGGACAGCATGTTTACTGTGTGATTGCAGCAGTTCAGTGAAGAAAACAGTTGAAGTACTTCTTCTGAACCAGCGTTCAGTTAGAGAGGCATATTCACATTTTCCCACATGCTGTACGTTAAGTGTTTTCGTGGGTATTTTTAACTTTGCCTGTGCGGTTGCCACGGCAAACTGAAAATATACCACATGTTGAGTGCCTGTTTTGCTCATAATACACCTTCTGGTATGCGAAAAACACATACGGACATGTTATCAAGGTTAAAAAAAAAAACCCTCATCACAACTCAGCGGGGAATCGGATGACGACACAACTCTGATTGTGGTAGTCGTGGTTACGAGGCTGTTCTTTTTAAAGCTTCCCTACATCACTAAGGAACGATTAGGAACATTTAATATGAAAGAACAAAAGTGGAGTAGTCATCACATGTGACGCTGGACAAAACAAACAGACAACATGGGCAACCAGACCGGACCTGGTCATAGCAGAGACCGGGGAAGGATCGAAGTCTAAGGAGAGATAAAGGACACTCCACATCCATCGAAATATATCAGCCCACCAAATCTATTCGCTGTGGAAGATCCATGGACCGTATACAAAGAAGGAGGAACCCTTTATAACATCACCCGCTGTTTTAAAACTCAGCGTGGTGACTCAGCAGTCGGCGTGTTGGCAGCGCCGGACCGCCGAACTTCCAGCTAATCCAAAAAATGGGAAAAGAGGTGGAGTGTGAATGGAGCTGACGCGAGCCAGGAACTGCTTACCACTCACTCGCAAAACACCCTTAACTAGAAACAGTTTTCAGTCTTATGACAATTTAAGCAGGTGAATTATATAAAAATCCAACCCCTGGACTGTTTTCTTAAATATGGAAATGCACCAATTTTGAACCAGATTGTAAACATGTTTATTTCTGCAGTGAAGTTGATGATTTTACCACGAGGGTGACTCACTTTGGAGTTAGCCTCAAGTGGCCATTCAAGGAACTGCAGCTTTTCTCTTAGTTTTTCAGGAGTTGCAGCTTGGGAAGACCACAAGATGTGGCTGAAAGCTACGGAAACATTTTTTACTGCAGCTGTGGCAAAATTGTTCCAAGTGATCCACAAATTACATTGATCTCAAGGCGATATATTAGCAAACATTTAATGCTGCTTTTAAGCTGCCGCACAAATGGATGGTTGTTGTATTATGTAGCGTATAATCGCTTTAATACACTGCAGCTCAGTTACTAATTCTGTCATGTATTATAACTGTTGGCCTAGAGAGGCAGTCATTAGCAGGAATGTCTGCCAAGGATTTCATTTAGCATTGTCTCAAAATGTATTCTGTTCCAACCTTGAGCCAACCGCCTGACTGGTTGGTGGAATAATTGTGATGCAGAGCGGCACTGACTGTCCAGTCCACATATCAAGTGCAATAAGTGAACTGGTTAATATCAACAAACATGACTCATATCTACTCAATTCAAAGACACTGCTACCATCAGAACAAAATCAATCTCCGTCATCGCTGCCAGCGCCAAGATTCTCTGCTCAGTGAGACAGCTTTATTAGACCGTTGCTACAAAAACAGTAGGAAAAAAATAAAAAATTACAGATTTGAGGCCGGCATCTCACAAACGGCAGCAGACAACAACATCTCAGTTCCTTTGTAAGTCAATGAGGGGAGCTAATGTTAGCCGCCATGGTGCTTTTGGCAAACTGGGCGCAGACAAAGATGAATTATTAATTTAAGTCATTTGAGCTGCTTTGAGGATTTTTTTTGCTTTGAATACAAAGAAGGGCAGATCCAGAGCAACAGACTACATCAATTAATCCCAGACAGCTGCAATGAGTGTTATAAACTCGTGGCATCAGTACTGTACTGTGTATGGAGGCTCACACTTTTACTCCATGCACTTGATATTTGACAATGTCTGTCCTTCTTTAAGTGTTTAAATCAATCCCCAAACATTAAAACAAGGGAAATCTTGCAGGTAATTCGGTGAATAATTAGCAAGCTGCAAGTTTTGACAATTATTGAACTATTAAACTGGGAAATATTGAACATTTTTGCTTGAAAAATGACTATTGATTGTTAAAGTAGTTTCAGGTTAATGTTCTGTTCATTGATTTATCAAAAAATAAACCTAAATGCCCGATATCACCCCGTTCCTAAGGGCACAAGTGCAAAATTTAATATATTCATTATACAGTAACACCTACACTGTAGCTCTACAGGTGCAAAGAACAGCACAAGCAGTCTTTCCACAGCGGAGTACATTCAAGGCTTAAAGCAGGATAAGATGGGGAAGGCACACAAATAGCCTAAATGTTATCATATATTGAAGAAACTTTACTTGACAAGGAGGAAACAAGGTTCACTATACAGCAGGGGTCTCGAACTCCGGTCCTCAAGGGCCGCAGTCCTGCAAGTTTTAGATGTTTCCTTCTTCCAACACACCTGATTCAAATGATTAGCTCAGCATCAAGCTCTGCAGAAGCCTGATAACGATCCTGATCATTTGAATCAGGTGTGTTGGAAGAAGGAAACATCTAAAACTTGCAGGATTGCGGCCCTCGAGGACCGGAGTTCGAGACCCCTGCTATACAGTATGTCAAGGCCATAACCACCACAGAGTCTCTGGTCCACACTGCTCTTTCAGATTTCCACATTCTCACAAACTAATTGAGGTTTAGAGCTTACCACGGCTGCCCCCCTGCCGGTCTGCAGGCCTCCGAGCCACGGCACGTTGATGGGTGTGCCGGGGCTGCTGTGGGTGTACGGTGTGGTGCCGTGGAGGCTGGCAAAGTCATCTCGTGCATGGACCACCAGGAAGTCGTCTCCACCAACGCTGCCGAGAGAAAAATAATCATACGGTAGTGTGCAAAAATGTTTAGGTACTTCAGATAAATATAAACCAAGGCGGTACGTTCATTTTACAGCAAAACAGCTCCATATAGTAAGCAGCTCTGAGAAGAACAAGCAGCCCTGCAACAGGCGGCACGGCCCCCCCACGACGCCCTGATCTCTGCGCCACTGAATAATTCTGGGATTTCATGTAGAGACAACCTAAATCCACAGAGGAACTTCTAGAAAATGCCTCAACAACCTCTCTGCCAAGTGCTTTGCAAAGCGCAAGTGCTGGTGCTGTTCTAAAGGCAAAGTGTGGTCACATCAAATATTGATTCGATTTAGTTTTTTTTTTTTTTCTTTCCTCTGTTTACTGCACTTTTAATGAAGTGAACTGATAAAATGATTTCTGAAAGCATCCTCACTTTTACTTCTCGTGCCTGTGACTTGTGCACAGCACGCGACAACGTAACTGCATTTATTTCCGAGACAGATCCGGGGCTGTTTAAGCTTAAGAGAGATTACTTGTGTTCCAAATGAAGGTAAGATAATCTTCCTTAAAATAGAGAGATAGAAAGACAGAGAAGGAGGGATAAGTTTTTTTCATAAAGAAGCAGCCATGCACAAGTAGAAGAGTACGATGTGAATACCAACGGTGCCGATGCATGTGTACCAGCTCCGCGGCCATTACCAAACAAGTCACGTTGTCCCATGCCCACACTCAATTTAGCTCTGTTGGTATGAGGGTGAAAAGGTGAGCTGATGCTACTCTGCATGAACTAACAGCCGCCGGTCGCAACAAGTACACTGTGCATAGGCAAACACACACACACACAGATTGCTCCCTTACCCTTTGGTCTCAGCCTCATCATCATCGATCCATGTCAAGATCTGCGTGGCCAAGATGGATGACACATCCAACTCCTGAATGTCATGGGTGGAGGCCATGACTAAACAATTACGGTTTGCCTGGGAGAAAGACGGGGGCATGAAGTGAGGGAAGGGAGAAGTGGAAGACAGCGAGAACAAGGAAAAGAACTTGAGTCTTAATGTATGTGCACACAAGAGACTCTTTTTTTTCTCCAAGTTTGTTTCATCAGTGGTCACAAAACCATCCATTTTTTCCCTTTTATTGACGACCTGAGGAACCCTTTCCTTTGATCACTCTGAAGAAGAGCTTAACTACAGATAAATAAACCACATTCAAACCAAGGCTATCGCAGCCTGAACCGCTTCCTATATCAAACAAAGACAACAAAGGCTCAACCACATCAAAGGGCCATATGCGGAGTAAGAGTTGCGTTGCCGGTCGAAAGAATTCTATATTTTCTTTGAATTTGAAGGTGCATTGGTCAAAAGCAAGCTGTGACTTGAAATTCACTAGTTTTTAAAAAAAAAATCAGCTAGAATCCACCACAGTTTAAAAGTCCAAATTCAAATGAGTTTATTGGGCTTGTTGCCACGCACAGCTGAACTGAAACGACTTAAAGCAGCATTAATTGATTTTTTTTATTTTTTTGCCACTTGAGGACACACCGCTCTGACATATCGGAGGGTGAAATGCAAACAAGCAGGCACAGAGCAACACGAGTATTTATTTTCTCGCCACTTATTAGTCTCACTTTCTCGTCGCGGCTCTGTTTTTGATACGTACCACCAACTCTTCACATCCACATCTTTATCTATATCCTCTCAGGGCTCATCACTACAAGCAACCTCTTTCATAACCGACACAGATGTTTGACCTACTGTTAATGTAGAAATATTGATTACAGCAGCTTTGACATGTGCTCAAAGAAAACATCTGAAGGCGGGATTCATCGCTGGGAGCGCGTTTCTCAGTAAATGGGTAACTCCCACAAAAGGTTACATGACACGTTAAATAAACTTAACCACTTTTTTTTTTTGAAGCCACTTAGCTTTTCTGTTCTCCAGCAGACACAAATGTGGTTTGAACATGTTTGCATGGAGGGAATTTCTAGCAATTTTTGTATGTCTTTTGGTTTCCAGTAACAGGAAAAAAAACCCTTAATACAAAGATAAACACGCTGCCTTCCATAGTACTGATTTATTCTAACATACTGAATATTTATTATACTAAAGGAGAATTTTTACATAAAGAAGACCGATAGACTGACAACCAACGAAGACTGGAGATGCACTATTCTCATCTCTAGTGTTCTGTGTTGCTGAGTGACATCTACGTAAAAGGGTTTTTACCTTGTTGATGGCAAAGGCTGTGATGATGTCAGATTCCTTGTGGATGATGCGTGCTTTCCCTCCAGGGCTGCCCAGATCTGACTCAGTCTGCAGAGAGGAGAACAAACGCACACACAAGCACACAAATTACCACCTTGGAGATTCAACGGTTACAACTAAAGCACTGTGAAACGTTTCCTGCAGACAAATACATCAGCCGTAATTACAGCTACGTTTCCTTTCATGCTACAGAACCGATGACCTGACAAGACCCATGAGAGCGGGTTGATAAATTAAGCGTCAAAATATTTGCTGTGGGAGATATGCACAAGGTTACTCACTGTGTTTCCTCACTATACACTGTAGTTTGAGTAATTCATGTGTTTGTTTGTCTTGCCTTTAGGGAGTTAGGAGAGGACATGTGAGGTGCATCAGGCCACACTGTAAACAGCAGCGGCCAACATAACTGGGTTACTGGCATGAGATAGCATGAGCGCAAAATCCCTTGAGTGCAAGTGCACACTGTACCATCGCGGTCCTTTGGGATGTATGCAGCACTGTAGGCTATACTCTGGCCCTGCATATTGTATAGAGATGTTACATTTCGATGCCAAAGTTACTCAAAATGAGACAGGCATCCTTTAAGCATGAAATTCAATTAAAGTCTTCACTGAATTTATTCAAGAGGAAAAGACCATGTCTTTTTCTGTCAGATGGAATGAAGTAAAACTCGACTTGCAGAAATCTAAATATGGTGGGTTGCCATTTTCGCCGAGCACATAATCCCTGTAGGACGCAGATTCACTGCGACAGTGTTGGGCCCATTAATCAGAAGCTATTCAGCTTCATAGCTTGTCCTCCGAGAGCTGAGTTAATTAACACTGAGCCAAATGGAGTTGCTATAACGTGGCAGCTTGCACACTGAGAGCCAGAAGATTAGGAAAAACCTCTATGAAGCTACAGTGTACAGTGCAATTTAAGATTTATGGTTCACATTCACATGAATATTTAGACAGCTAAATGTAAGATTAATATCAAACTCTGACAGGAACATTTAGAAAAAAAGAAGAAAAAAAACGTACTGTATTCTGTCAAGATCAGAATTCTAACATTTAAGATTAAATGTGACAGATCACGTTTATTACTCTACTGTAAAAGTCACATGATGTGCCTGTTCCTATAGCTAACCAATGGTACATCTTGTACCGTGCAAACTACAGTGATGTGAAGTATGTTTCATAAGGTGTCACATCTGTGTTTAGTATATGACTGCTACTCATTGGTCTTGCCAAATCAAAAGCACGGCTGGTTAACACACATCTTAATGAATATACCCCAAAAGTTCTCATATAAAATGTTTTGCACTGCAAAGCTTTAAGTTTACAGTTATCTTGTGTGATCTTTAGAGTGACGCTCTGGTCAATCACAGACTGTAAAGCGTGCTGGTAAATTGTTTGATCACTCAAACAGCTTTGAAACCGCAACGATTTTTCTTACTCGTAATTGGGACCAAACACATCTGGAAGGATTTTTCCCCTCAGCCCTACATGTGAGATTGGATTTCTTAATTCATGTCTCATTTTACTGAAATGGTTTGTTAACAAGCAAATGGCATGGTCTTACTTGCAACACATTTCATTTTCAATTATCTGTGCCAGCCTATGGGGCCAGATTACTGTTTGAAAATTAAAAAATAGGTAAAAAATACAATCTCAAACATTTGGTACCAACTTCTTGTTTTCTATCTGGCAAGTATTGCAAAAGATAACGAGGTCTGATACCCACCCAACACCAATACCACAAGGAATACACAACACAAATGTATTGTGTATTATTTATACACTACAGTCTGATAATTACACTGATTAAGCTGATAAATTATTGCACTTATGCAGCACAACAATGTATCCGAAGTGGCAGTACCTGATTGCTTCCTGTCTCGTCCATCCCTGAACATTTCATATTGTCAGTCTGGTCCTCAACCGACTTTAATGATCGGGGGAAGCAGCACAGACACGCACACGCACGCACACGAAACGCACAACAACAACAACAACAACATCCAGTGGTAATCCATGCAAACACACACAGAGACGGAATTATTGTGTTGTTAATAAAACAGAGTGTAATTATACGAATAAAAATTAAATTATCAACATGCATAGAGGTAGCAATAATACATGTGGCTGGCATGCAGAACAAAAAAAAAAAAAAAAGCACAAGTGAGCCAACAGGGATGTAAAAGCAATAATGATGCAGTTTTGCCTGCGGGTAAATACAGGAGTATTGTGAATTTAATCATAAAATAGTTAATGTGTTATTCAATGACAATTAATGCAATTTGCTAGAATTAAAATATGGAGATGCTACATGCAGCAGGTGGTGCAAATGTGACGTACCTGATTCGTGCCTGGTTTCTTAGTGAAGATGTTTCTAATGAAGGTCTCTTGCACTTCTTCCTGCTTGACCAAAAACTGCCATAAACGTTTGACTGGCAGCGCCGAGTGGTGGCTTGACCTGAACAGAGCAGAACCTTAACTTATTAAAATAGCCTCAATGCATCAGTTGTTTCAGCAGCTCACCGAATCCCAAGTAAATGTGTTTAAATAGTAATGTTTGATTTGAAAACTTTACATATCTAGAGCTCAAGGCAAGCCACGTCAAATTCACGTAGCTGTTGCTTTCTCTACAGTACGTTGTGTACTTTAACAGCTGCATTAAGTCAATAACATCAGCAGCTTTTTAACATCTAAAAAACATTGCCAAAATCAAAGATATAGTGTCTAAGCCAGACGTAGAGAGACTAATCCATGTGTTAGACTACTGTAACGTTCTGCTCACTGGCCTCTCTAAACGAGCTGTAAGACGGCTGCAGTTTATCCAGAACGCTGCTGCTCGAGTCCTGACTAGAACCAGGAGGTACAACCATATTAGTCCAAGTCTCTGCACCGGCTTCCTGTCGCTCAGAGAACTGACTTTAAAACAGCTTTGCTCGTGTACAAGTCTCTTCATGGTCCAGCACCAAAGTACATGTTGGTGCCATATGAACCATGTCGGGCTCTGAGAACCTCTGGGAAGGTCTCCTGCTGGTGCCCAGAGTCAGGACCAAACATGGTGAGGCTAGAACTACTCCTACTCCTACTACTCCTACTCCTACTCCCACTCCTACTACTACTCCTACCACTACTCTGAGAACCTCAGGGAGGGTCTCCTGCTGGTGTCCAGAGTCAGGACAAAACACGGTTCCAGTTTTATGCAGCTAAAATGTGGACCTGGATTTCAGAAGATGTGAGACAGGCCATAACGCTGACACTGTTCAAATCCAGGCTGAAAACAGTTCTGTTTAGTTGTGCATATGACCGCTGAAAGTATTTTATCTGTACTCTTCTTCTAGATTTATGTTTTTATGGATTGATTTTATCTGCCTCTTTGCTTTTAATGTAATTAATTAATAATTGTGTTTATGTTCTGTGGACTGATTTTATCTGTCTTCTTATACTTTTGTGTGAAGCATTTTGAATTACCTCGGGTACAAATTGTGCTGTACAAATAAACCTGCCTTGCCTTACGGGCCTTGAGGAATTCTACAGCAGTGAGTTTGCACAGAGATAAAACTGTAAACTTTTCTAAACACAATTTACTCGTGTGGATGTGTTGTACAGGTTCATTTGGTGCTGTTCAACCAAACATTAATTCATGATGTTTAAAAGCTAAAGAGGGCATCTGAGGGGCTGAAGCGATATAAAGACAATAAAATACACGAACGTCTTTACGGTTCTGGCTGAATAAACACAATAAGACAGAGAAACATGAAACTTTTCATCAGCATGTTTCCTTTCTGTTACTCAGTTTGCGATGCTACCTGAATGGGGTATTCGTTGGTTCAAACAGGGCTTTGTGTCTGAGCAGGGCGGGGCCAGGTGTGGCAGCTTCATCGTGGAGGTGGGTGGAAATGTATTTGGAAGGAGGGCCGCCGAAGATCTCGAGCCGTTTCTGCAGCACTTGCTCCCAGCGCTGCAGCGTCTTTAGCACAGCGTGACACAGAGGAGAGCCCACAGGCAGGTCTGCATTAAAAAGAAGCAGGCGCACACAAACAGGGAGGCAATGAGATTAGCCGAGACAGGCAGTGAGAAATAGGGCAGCACTTTATCTACATCCTGGATGATGGTACATCAGAGGGTGTGTGATGTATTTTAGTGCTTACCTAATAGATCATATCCTGCCATTGGGTAAAAGGATTTGAGGTTGACCAACACCAGCTGAACCATGGCCAGACGCATCAAACACCAACTTAAGAGAAGAAAAAGGCATTACAAATCAGATTACACTCCTAAAGCTGCCTTTCAGAAACTGGGGACATCAAGGTGCGTTTCGACTCGACGTGGAGCGAAATTTATAGGCAGCGCGGAGTCAATGTGAAGAGACAAACAGCTCTAAACACATTCAGGTTTAATAAAGGCAGCTTGACTTGAGGTGAGGATGAGTCACCGTTGGCAGTAATAGCTCCTCAGCGCAGTGTCATTACCTGTATGAGTTGTGGTTTGAATGCTCTCTTTGTGGAGAGTTGGGGTCAAACACATCTCCGTAGTCGTCGTCGTCGTCATCCTCCTCCTCGTCATTGCTACCCTGGCTGTCCTCAGAGTCATATTCAATTCTGTTTTCTGATGGTGGCAACAAAGGCTAAAATGGAAAAGAACAGAACAGAACAACAATGAAGAAGACAGAGACGCATTGTTCTAGCTTCAGAAAAACACCCAGAGGAAAAATAAAAGCCCACATTTTTTTCCCCCACTGAAGTTATTGTGGATTATTATAGCAGATTTATGTAGTTAGATGATTACCAAATTACTATAATACGATTATCATAATGTGATCAGAATGCAATGATTCTATTATACATGAATGCTAAATATGCAGCATTACCTCAACAAAGAACCCTAATGTACTTCAACCATGTTTAATAGGGGGGTTTTCAGGGATTGGTATTCATATTGTGGACTACCTTGGCGATAAAATAATCCCAGATGCTGAGCTCTGGAGGGACAAATCGTTCTTTAAAGATAGAGGCAGCTTCCTGTTCCACAATAGGGCAGTGCCTTGGACTTGCTGGTGCCTCACGGTCCATCCCCGATTCTTCTTTGGAGCCACTGCGTGACGACAGAAGCCTGAATCGTCTGGACTTCTTCTCTGAGCCACTTGGTGAGGCTGAAATGTTGAGTGATGGTGTTAAATTGGTATCATAACAAACCAGCTTTTTTTTTTTTTACATCATATAAAACACACACCAAACCTGACATGCCTTGCAATGCTGGAACATACTAGTAAGAATTTTTTAAAAAAAAGCATTGTTCCAAATGCATGCATTACGTCAAATATACAGTCACAGCTGCAGTTCATCAGGTTGTCTCTGCCAACCATGACAGAGTGGCACAGACAGAGTGTGAGGCAAACAGCTTTCACACTAATAGGTTGATGGATTTCACTCTGACCTACAGACGGGAACCCAATTAATTTAGCAGGACTGATGTGATTTAGCTACTGGGTCACCTCCAAAAGAAAACCCCATTGGTGGGAAAAAAAAGAAACCTAGATGATACAAAACAAGCACCTGGTGGGGGTGTTCTTGCTGGGCTGCAGGGTTTCTCGATGACAGGGGTCCGGGCGCCTCCTCCGAACACTGTCACCCACAGCTTGCTGTTCAGGGGGTGGGCCACGATGCGAAACAGCTCGTTGCTGGAGTGAGTGGCCATGCCGTGAACAAACAGACTGAGGAAGACGGCAGTCAGGATCTCGCAGAGCAGCACAGCTAAGCCCGGCTGGCTCTCCTCACCTGCTGAGCTCAACAGACGAATGAGAGAGGCGATACCTGGAGAGAGGATGAAGAAGACAGAGAGACAGCAGGATTTGAAGAAGCACTTAAAGTGTAGGTTTTAGTTCAGCTTGTTAACAAAAAAATAAAAACACCCACCACAGAAATGTTCAAATACAAACAGAAGATGGCAACATTAAGCTTTTTGCATTTTAAGAAACAGGAAAAAAACACCATTAAGTCACTTTATTGTAAAATAAAGTACACATTTGTTTGAAGGATAAGCCTGGCAGCGTATTTCTCTTCTTGGCAATGCATCAGAAAAAAGACGAAAACCTGTAATGAATTGGCCCCAATATTTTAAGTGCATAACATAGCTTATTTCCTGATGCTATAGACCTTAAAAAAAACATAAATGAAACCACTTTAAGGACCCACAGTGTTGCACGGGGTGAGATGTTTGCAATTTATGTTGAACATATATCATCCTGCTGATGCAAATGCTCACTATACTCTCTGTCAGTCACAAAAACACTACGGCCAAATTTAATGAAACTCGGCGGAGAAGTAAATCTTGGACAAGGGAAGAGACCATTACATTTTGATGCCAATCCAGAATTGAGAGATAAGACACTGGCCTTGGCAAAGAATGCACCCTCCAAGTGCCCTTCAAGTTTTATATAAACATATTTCACTACATACCAGGCATCAATTTGAACGTAACGTAGTGAAGAGTTTAATATATTTCTGGTAAATAAAGAGCTTCCTCAGTAAAAGGTGCTCCAAAATCTAATCAGATGATGTAATCCATATGGGGGGAAGCACACAGTTTCTGCTATGTAGATACTGTACAGAGTCCAACAGACAAAAGCATAACAACATACTGAAACCACACATTCATGGCAGTAAGATAGAATGGGCTTAGTGCTGCAAGCAGGGGAGATACAGTTCATAGGTACGGAGGCTACACACTGCTAGCTCTGATTTGTTGGCGGTGAAAGTCGAGCGTAAAAAGTTTGTTTTGACTGGTTTACCTGGCCACTGTGCAGGAGAAGTGTTGGGCTGTACAGACTCATCCATGCTGACAGTTCTGAGCGGCTGCTTCTGAGACAGCAAAACACTCTGATACACAGTCCCCGTGAAATGGTTCACATGGCTGTGGGAGAGAGCAGACAAAAGAAATGGACCCCCCAGAGTCGGCATGAGGGCACAAAGCAAAACATTTATATTAAACATGAAAAGCTGTACCGAAGAGTGGAAATGTTAAAAAATGGGGTTAGGTGGTGTAAATAGATAATATCACAATGATTTACTTTAAATGTTTTACATTTGTTCTGACTTCTGGGATGCTGTCTGTAAGAATGAGACTCTGCCGTCGAGCTCTGTTCTGTCAGGACATGAAATACTAATGGGCTGCATCTCAGGTTAGCTGCCTATCTATGCCGTTTGGTGATAAAGAAGAAATGCCTCATGATGAAGAAAACATCAAGTTCTCACGTCAGCTGCCTTTTCAACACATGCACCCCCCAAAAAAAAAAAAAAAAAAAACTTGGGATGGTTGAAGAGGAAATTTTTACAGAGAATATGGGATGCTTACGCCGCCAGGGAGTCTATTAAGTTTCTAACATCCAATAAGTCCTCCTTTAAGCTTCTGTGAAAAAAAACCAATTGCCTCCACATAAAAAAGAATTCAAAAGTCAAAGGGAATGTCTTTCAAAAGAAGGAGCAGCAGTCACTCTTCCCAACATATTTCTCACAACAAATTTAATCCATAAAGCCACACACACACACACACACACACACACACCACTGACTGCACATGTGCACCGGGGCTTTTCATATGGATATACGTGTTGGCTGATTTCTCAACAGTTAAACTAATTAAACTGACGCTAATGCGATTTAAAAAAAAACGAGCACAAAATGAATCAAACTACTGTCAACTTAGCAACACTCAACCCCCAGCAACCTAGATCCACAAAACAACCCTTTAAAAATTCACACACTCTTACACTCACACTCAGACACTCCAGAGGAAAAAGCAGAAGCAACATTTCATCAAACCTCTGCTGCAACACACCAGGAGAGTTTATATCATAATTACCATAACAAAGACGGTGTTAAATTAGAAATAGCCTTGCTAATTTAGTTAGACTGCTCGGGTCCCAGAAGTGCGTGATAGACGGGCTGCGCGAGTGTGCATGAGTAAATTATATGGCGGATAAGACGATGCAAAACCAAGTGTTCGTTTAATCACATCACTTAGAGTTGTGTCAAGTTTGAAATTGTTGCCCTGAAAGAATAATGAATGTTTTGTCTCTTGGCTTCAAATAAAAATGCTAAAAATTCACCCCTTTTTGACGCATTATTTAACGGATCAGTTCTATAACCGGGGTCACGGCACCGTGCCTGAATTCTTCTATACGTCATCAAATAATCTGGCAGAACCACCGACAGGAAGTCACATAACAGCACAGCTACAAGCCAAATGGGTTATTTAAGAAAAAAAGAAAAAAAAACAAACAACCAAACAATCCCACACGCATTCATCCATCCATCCAACTGGGTTGTTGTCAAAGTGATTGGGAGTTATGGTACGTAAGAGTGTTAAATAAACAATGTTCCTCCCATCTGTCAAAACAAAAAAAAAAAACCTAATTAAGTATTTACAATAAGAATAGCAAACAGCAGCCTTGGAGCTTTTATAATTCATACTCCACATGATCAAAACAGACAAGTGCCTGTCATATTTCTGGTTAGCAAACCTCCACATTTCTTTTTTCATGTCTTAACCTTGTGAACCCAAAAGCCCACCAGAGGGTTAGAAAGTTGTGTTTAAATATAAAAACGGCACAATTACACCTTTAACCATAGAAAATTGGAAAGAAATGTTTAACTTTGCAATTGCCTCTAAACTAATTGTGTGTCAAATGTTGTTCTGTTGATAAACCTAATCAAATATATTTCATCAATGTCACTTTAATCTACAAAAAAACTCCTTCATGTGACAAAAATTCAGCGTCTTTCTGCTTAAACAACTTTGCACACTTGGAAAAATGTTGAACATGTTGAGTCCAGTTTTTTTTTGTATTTCAATTCAAAACAAGAAAGTAGAAATTGTTTATTTCTATTTATGATTTCTTGCATTACAGCTTTGTTGTTCTACACTGAACATATTTTGGAGTTTTTATTCTACTTTACATAGTGAAACTGCTTTTTATCAGAGGGCTAAATCACACCAATGTAGCACTTTGCAAATCCAGAATAAAGCCTAAGACAACCCTGAAAACCATTTTCTACTTTCATCGTACATTTATTCATTCATTTAATGTTTGATCTAAACTGTGCAGTATGTGTGCATTACCCTCTTGTTATTAAGTATTCTTAGTTACCAGTAGTTCCTTATTATTTCTTGTTCTCCGCTAACAAGCCCCTAAAACTTTCTGACACACCCACAGAACTGGAGGACACAACTTAAAATAATCATTGCCAGCATTTCCTCCTTAATACTAAGCACAGGAACATAAAATCAGATTATTAGAACAGAATAATCATCAGGTTTGTTTGTAAGCATCGCTTGAAGATATTAAGAACTGAAGAATCTTGCCTGGAGAAATATTGAGCTGTGGATACCCACTAAATCTCAAACCTTTTGGAGTCACAGTTTATTCAAAGAATAAAAAAAAAGATTTATTTCCCTAGTTTCTCAAATCATTGTTAAAAATGGATGGCTTGAAAGTAGCTCAAGGTTAGTGGTGTGCTCAGTTTCCGTATAAAGCTGCTGTTGCTTTGGGGAGCAGTCTCTGCAACAGGATAGCTTAGAGGGTTAAAAGGCTAAAAAGAATGGTAATAAATAAGTGTATTTAGTAAACCTGTTTACTGCGAAACTTACCTGTAGGTTTGTCCGTCACACAGACACTGATATATACAGGCTGATAAGGAGGCAGCCAAGGTGTGCATCACATAGATCTGAAATTAAAACCAAAACAAATAGCCTTAATGGTTTAAAGACGGTGCACTTCTTCTCGTCTGTATACGTGAAACGGGCTTCCTGTGGTGTGAAGCTCGACTGCAGTTGCCTTCAGCTCTGTGGATTATTTTGGCTTTGCAGCTCACAACTTGAACTTGGTTCACGCTTACTTCACTAAACAGATATTTTCCAAGGAAGGGCAAAGCAAAGCTAAAAAAGGAGAGTGAATATTGAACCTAAATTCATCTGTTTGATACAAACATAACCTCTAATGAATGCTAATGTTTCCCAGCATCTGCAGGATGTGTAATTAGGAAACTGTTTGCAGCACATTAACTGTACATTAACATACACAAATGAACAAGATGAAACGCGTGTGTCCACAACACTGTGTACCACTAATAAACTTGTATGCACGTACTGTCTCCACTATCATATTTGATTGTGTCATTGCACACATCGACCAGTATTACAGCTTGGTTCGATGAAACTGTAAATCTATAGCTGTTCTAGCAACAAAACAAAAAAGCCCGCTCTTAAATAAACAGCCTCACCTCGTTGTTAACAACATCAGGGTGTGGAGGGGAGTCGAGTGCAGTGATGGTCTGCAGGATGTCATGAGTCAGGTTGGTCAGGTAGATGATGGGATTGGCCACCACCGTCTTAACGTTGGCTGTACAAGCCATCAGGAGAGGGATGGATGTGGGCTGAGGACTGGATGTCGCCACTGACTGGGTGGAGTCATCCTGAAGGCAGAAGTCAGAGAGAAACGTGTTAAATACATACAGCATATCGACTAAACTCACTCTCACTCAATGCACATGCTGCGTACGTGTTTATCATGTAACACACTGAACTCACAGCCACACATTGAGACATACATATATGTATATATACGTAATCTAACCTCCTACAACAGTAAAACTTAAAAAATAAGAGAAGACACATTCAAGTTCCTCATTTTATTTTTAGAGGGTAAAAGAGACAGCTCACAAAGAGAACCAGGAACTGCAGGGAGCCACTTTGAACTTTTGAAACTGCAGCTGTTTCCTGAGCCATAATAAAGACAAGGTGAGCTGATTGCTGGAAACGTCATACATGATTTCAACATGTCTTTTTTGGAGTGTGCATGAATGACAGTTAAAGAGCTAAAAAAGACCACATATGCACTGGAAGGGGGGCCTTGTTTTCTCTGCGTTTCCCAGACTCTTGACTATGACTCCGCGTGTGGAAGAACACCACAGGCTTGTGCACGTCACCCCTGATGAATCACACTCAGTTGTCACTAACCTCCTTAACAGATGCTCTACAGGCTGACTGAAGTCAAGACAAAAGGAAAAAATACAAAAATTTCCTCGACAACAATGGAGGAACTTGACAACCATGGGACCAGAGCGGGGACAAAAGAAACTGCTTCTATTCCAAAATCAAAGCGGGAGAGTAGAAAGGACTCCCGGTGCCCATCGACTGTGCTAACATTCAAGAGCGCCGTTCCCATGTCGGCTCATTGAGTTGTTTACCTCCTAAAATTTGACTCAACCTTCTAATAGTCAGCCTACGGCGGCACCTCCCTCCGGAGCTCCACGAATCAGCACAACCTGTCAGCCCATTGCTGGAGGTGTACAGACAATCGCCGGCGCGCAGTAACTAGGTCTGAGTGTGTGGGCGCATGTGTGTGTGTGTGTGTGTGTGACTTGGGAATCTAGTTGCATTAACACAAGCCTTTCAGATGGCTTCATGTTCGTCTTTCATGCATACTTTGCTGCTCATCTGCTCGGTGTCCTTCCCTTCAAAGAGAATATGTGGTCTGTCGTACAATGCAGCAGCTCTGCTCACTGATGTGAACGTTTCTGCAGCTAATGGTTTTTAATCTTTCTGTCTTTTGTGCTGCACAAACATGTTTTTTTCCGTCACTGTTATTCTTTATGTTCTTATCGAGGTAATCAGCAACAATTAAGACAAACGGTACATTTAGATTGTGCAGGCAGGTACACGGACAGATAAAGTCTAAGGCACACTGTACAGCTATAATTGCCTTTTTTTTCTTAATTTCCCAATTAAAAATGAAATTGCTTGTCCACACAGGTACCCCCCCATAAAAGAAACACTCATATTTTCTATGATAAGAACCACGACTGCTCAAGAGAACATTTGTGAAATTAACTAGCTAATGCTTGTCATTATTAAACGTATAAAGACCTCCACTAATATCAATCACCAACTCGTTAAATGAATTAGTTTTATGGTCATGATTCATTTTGTATACATTCATAGACACAAAAATCAAAGGATGCAACTGGAGCAAGAGACAATCTATTCCTCCGATCAGTTCCTCAAACTATAATTAGGTTTTTAATCGCCAAAGCGTCCAAATGAATAACGACTTGTTTTATCACTACAAACATAAACACAATAATTTACTATAGTTTTGTAAACTCACACTAATCAAGTTGTCACCACAAAACTCTCCCGCTCTGCCTGTCAGTGTCCTTTAGTATGTTTTAATTACCTGGTGAGACTCTTGGAGCAGCAGTATGAGCTCCATGCGTACAGAAGCCAATCCTCCACCGTGGGATCCGTGCAAGCTGCAGTAGCTCAGAAACATCCTCAGTAAGGGCTGGTTAGTCTGCAGCCAGTGTCTCCTGACCCTGTGGCTGTCACCACGGGGGCTTCCAGGCTAGAAAAAAACATTTTTAATTGATGAGTTCAATAGACAAATCAATCAGCATCAGTGTAAACATGTCAGCGTAACGCAGCTGGCCAGTGTTCAAGCAAAAGTCACCCAGTGTTAAAAACAACTACGTTTACAGGCAATGTATTCAACTAGCTTTGTTAAAAAAACACATGATGATTTAATACACAGTAGGTGTGTTGTGCAAGAGAAGGTATGCATCATTAGGTGTGCAGCTGAAACGGAATCAATAGTTGACAATAAACCAAAATTTGATGCCAAACGCTCGAAGCTTTTTCTACCTCGACAACAAAAACAGAGCTCTGACAAACGGAGATCCGAGGGAGAATGGTGCAACAAACTCACATTTTTTCACCAGGCATTGTGCTGTTGTCTTATTTTTTTATTTATTTATTTTTTATTATAGCAAGCAGCCAGCTTTCAACACCCACCTGTTCCTCCTCTACCAATCCAGAAACGGGGCCATCACCCTGGACAGACAGCTCTGGCAGGCAAGGTTTATAGCTGCAGCAATGCTGGAGAGCCACCACCTGGGGAATCAACAGAGCTCTATGATGAAATCAATTTATTAGAAAGGAATATATCAATCATGGATAAGAGACAAAGCAAAGCATTTCACCAAATCGTCAATTTGCTTTCACAATTTTACTGGAGAAGAAGAGCTACACTGTTAGCAATGTGATGTTGATATGCACTGACGCAGCGCACACTCAGATGAAATGTTCAAACAATGAACACGACGACAGGAGAGATGTGTGGGAGTTACGCAAGTTACACAAGTTATAAAAATTTTATTGGGTGAAATTAAGTGTGCAGTCAGACTAATTTCATAACATGGAGGAATATTAAAACTAAGGTTTAATTATGTAATTTGAAATTTGACCTTTAAGCCTGTAACAGAGTTTAAATGTGTTCGTACCTCTCTCTCTAACCACTGGTAGAGCTGATAACGCAGCTTCCCTCCGTCCAGTTCGTAGCCCGTCGACAGCGTCCGGAGCTCGTTGGTCATAATCTTTAAGCAGGCAGTAAACTTCAGCTGAGCCACCAAGATATCATCAGATGGTGCAATGAAGTCACTGCTGTCCTCGGGGTCTTCTCCTGCAGCCGGCGTGGCCTCCTGCGCGTCCTGGAACACGCTGCTGCTGTCTGCCGTTTTACCGCTCTTACCATTTTTTGTTTCGTCTTCATCCGCATCGTCGTCATCGTCATTGTCTCCATCATCTTTGTCGCTGTCCCACTTCAGCTCCAGGGGCTCGTCTGGAAGTGTCAGTGACGGCTGGCTCCAGTCAAAACTTAGCACTGAATCTGACTGGCTGTTGGACAAGCTGTTCCCGTCTGACTCGTAGCCGTTCAGCGCTGGCTGAGACCAATCCGGCTCTGATGCACTCCTACTGCCAACGCTGAGTTCAGCGGCTGTGCCTGCATCCCCCTGGTCGGGGAGTTTGGAATGCTTGCGGACTTTGGGCATCTTGGAGAGGACTTCAAGTGCTAACATGGGGCAGCCAGCGTGTAGGTGTGCATATGCAGCTGTGAAAAACAGTCTTCTCTCATCCAGGCTTATGGAGTCAGCCCTGCGACCCTCAGCAGTCAGGCCAACTTTAGCTTTGTCTGAGGAGCCAAAATGCCGGCGGAGGAGGAGCGGGTGGGTGCGGAGATAGGTGTAAAAGTTGAAAACCTCAGGGTTGCATGTCGACACAGAAGAACCTGTCAAAAAAAAAGAGACAGAAGACAGTGTTTCATCTGTGTTGGTGACAAAAACCAGGCAGCAGAGGAACCATTTTCCTATAAGTCAGTGTTACCTTCTCTGTAAGCGTGCCGAGTACTCTGAGAACATCATTTATGAAACACACGTAGCACAGGGATGTTAATCTGGGACCTGTTTGGCTCTTAAGGCAAAGTGAGGTTGATATTAAGTTCACTTCTTCATCTATTCTTCAGGCGAGCCTTGTATATTTTCTTTAATTAAATGGAGTTCTGTGTTGAGCGGGCAGCAATTACTTGTGCAATTTCGCTTCACTTAGGGGACCAAAAATAGTTCCAAAGCCTGAACAGTTTGTGAAAGCAGACGATTTGACCTCATAGTGTCAACTTGCAATCTGCAGCACTTATCGTCTAGCTCCTTGTTTGATTGTGCAAAGCTGTATGTGACAGGCCTGAAAGTTTTCACACATCATGGACACTTATTCTGCATTAACATGAAGTATTGCTAAAATTGACCCACATTTAAAATAATTAGAATCCAATGTAAATATCATAAGTCAGAAAATGTGCTCACATTTTGTTAAATAACTGCTTGGTTTTGCTTTATTGATTCCTCTTTTAATTTAGTACAAATAAAGGTAAAACAGTGAACTCAGGGGTAAAAGACATATAGGTTATTAATTAATTTAAAATAGATTTTTTGTAGTTAAACAGAAGTGCAGACAGGCAGCAACCGGCTGACCTACCAGTGTCATATTTGCTCTCAGTGGGCCGAGAGCTGCTGCTGTTAGCAGGCTGCTCAAGTAGCGTGTCCAAGGCTCTGCTGTAGTCTTCCAAGACCCAATGAGCCATGCTCCTCAAAAATGGGTCCTTGTGGGCAGGAATCTAAAATAAACAGAAAATCACAATGGCTCATTCTGGTTTCTCCAGATCATTTATCAAATTGATGGATTCAAACAACAGGACGATTCCATCCAATAATGCATCTTAAACTGCAATAAAAACTATATTTGGTGTCTGTAATACACACACACACAAACTCTGTGCACCTGTTTGTCGTGTCCCAAAACATGTCTCTGAAGGATCTTTTTGTAGGTGGATGCAGTCTCAAACTCAGACTCATACAATCTGGAGATCACCAGGGCCAGCTGGAGGTCCTGCATTTTCTCTAAACACACCTGGAGGAAGAAAGAAAAAAGCATTCATAGCCAGTTATCATTTAAAAATGTTTTCTGCTTCTCGGTACAGACTGAAGTGGATAAGAAAAGAGCCAAACAGACAAATAATGTATATTCTGGGTGCACAGTATTCAGTAGGACATGATCCTCTGAAGCTGCAGTTTTCTTGTTTTTTTATCTGTTAAAAGGGAAAGAACCCAAAAATGCAAAAAAAATAAAAATAAAATCCTGTGCTCACAGCAAAAAGTATGTGGATAGTTGAAGCTGTTGTGGTTTCTCCCAACCGCTAAGGTGTGAGGTGCATTTCAATGAGACTACCTCCCAGCCAAAGAGGCTGAGCAAAGTCAGTGAGAGCCCTTTGCCTGGGTGATGCTCATTTCCATAAACTGCTTAGAGAAGTTCCAGTTACTCATGCAGATGAAATAATGTGACTTGGTGCTCTGGGGAGTTTCTAAGCAGACATAACCTTGGTAAATAAAAAGTTAATCAAGATGACCAGAAATAGCCCTCCTGATATGGAGAGCTGTACATTTTTGTGGCTTCATTTAACCGTGATAGATGGCAAACGTACAAATAACACATTTATGTTTACACACCGTAAAAATAATAGGAATTATGTAGAATGTCCCTTATTAGTAAGCATGAATAGTAGTGTGGTGATGCTGCTTTATAATTGTGACAGCACGCAAATAAAAAATAAAATTCTCACAAAAAGGAGGAATGACAGCAGCACCCAGGAGTCAGCTGCTAACGTCATAAATTCTTCAGCGAGCTGCACTAAACGCTCTTGACAAAGACAGCACTGTGGGAATGTACCGTACTGTTTTAATAAAAAAAGGATGCACACAATAGAAATACTAGTCTTTGGTTTCTGTGAATATGGTTTCTCTGCTTTTTGCTATATCACTGAACGCTGCCCTTGACTTTGAATGTCACACACACAGCTTGCAAATGAAAATGAGAAGCACTTGCCTTAACTCATACTGAAAGCAAGGTTTCTAACTTTGGTTTATCCGACTGGGAAGTGCCAGTGCAGTTGAAGGAACAAGTGCTTCTTGGAAACATTGTGTCATGTCTATTTTCCACTTGCCTCCACAGCATCCTTAAGGGAGCCGGCTAGAAGGAAGAAGGCTGCAGAATGCTGGAACCGCTGCTTTCCCAGCAGAGAAAAAGCATTTTTCAAGGCTGCTTTCCTCCACCGATCCTCGCTGAAGTTGTTGCGAAAAAACTCTGTCATTTTCACATTCTTCTGAGACCTAGAGACAAAGACATTATAGATTGAAAACAACAATATAGATGTCATTGGTCCTCAGTGGTCTGACAGATTTGATCTTGGTTAGGAGAGGGGCAAACACTGTGATTGCTGTGCATGCATTTGCATTTTATATGCAAAATCATGTCAGTTCTGCCTACCTGTACAATCCCCAAACCACCGCCTTCTTTTTCAATGCAAGGTAGAATATAGCTGCATCCAGAGGATCATTGTTTCTCTGAAAAGATGCCTTGGCAACCTGACGAAATAGAAGGAAAAAGTACATTTTAGCTAACACCTCCTCAGGCTATACAGTGTTATCTACAGAACAAGCTGTAGCTTTATGGGTCATTTCATGGAGTAACTCTTATTTGGTTACAGTGCAGTATTTCAGAACCACTTTAGCAAAGCTCTACTTTCACAAACCCAACCCCATTTCATTTAGAAATTGAACAATCGATATTAAGCGCACAGGGCTAACACTAATAGTCAACCTTCAAAGCCTTTAAGTGTAGAATTTTAAAGTGCGTTCTGCACGAGTTAAATGTTGTTCTGTTTGAAGAAGAAAAAACAAAAAAGACAATCTTGATGGAAATTGCTTCCGTCTATGTGCTGTTTACTGTGTGCAAACAAAACTTTCCCAAACTTTCACATTAATCAGTCCTTCAAATAAGCTTTAAGTAAAAGATGAAAGGCAAACACTTCCAACTTCTAAAATGCAGAAAACCACTTTATATCAATTACCAGACACTAAACAATCCTAAAAATGCATTTGACGATGAAATTAAGACTAAAATATCTGAAACGATTACAAACTGAACATCAAAGTAATCAACAAATATCCCTCATCTTTTACATGAATGTGCTACTAACTGCTTGATCATTATTTTAGATATGTGCTAAGACAAATATAATTGATAAATAGCAGCATTAGTAGCCTCACCTTCTCAATGCACCTGCGTAGCTTGTTGGTGCTGCGCAGCCACCAGCCCACTCCCATGGAGCGCAGCTCCGGCCAGGTGGGCTCTCCCTTCTGGAGGGCAGGCAGCATGTTCAGCAGCTCCTCCTCGGCGTCAGAGTGGAAGGCCCAGGCATAATGACACGTTGACAGGCCTGCAGAGAGAAAAAAGGTATTCTAAATGTCATTGTTAGAAGAGCAGCACAGCAAATGAAAATTCATTTAACAAGGAACACTAAGAAACACATCAGCCTGAGTTAATGCAGGTGTAAAAGGTTTAAATATTCAAAGCTGTGAGTTTCCTCAGACAGCTGTAGTGTTGTGCTGCCTGCTACCCATTGAGAAGTTCTACGGGAACGGTCGTAGCTCGCTCCAAGGCAACTTTACTGCAATAGTTAAGGATGATGAAGAGACTTTGGCTTGTTCACTTATCTTACTTTTACAGTCAAGAATTTACAACTGACACCATCAGTAACCTCCTCTTTTTCTAGCTTTAGGAATCTTTTAAGTAACTGTCCTGACACCTTGCTGGGCACTGGAGCATTTTCTGAAGGAAGCTGGCACCTGGTACTTTACTCAGCAAGCTACAAAACTTATATTAGGACTTTCGACATTAAAAACTTAGTGTGCTATTTTTGAGGGGCATTTGACTTAGTAGGTAAGAGACTGCTACCTGCTGCATGCATATTTGTGTCAGCTATGAAATGCCCTCAATACAGCAAAAACTGTTTGAAAACCACAACGCCACTGTACCTTGCTGTAGCAGCTGTACTCGGTGTGCTGGAGGCACGGAGGTAGAGAGGAAGGTATGGAGTCTGACAGCCAGCAAGAACTTCAAACCACACTCATCCAGTGTCTCTCCGCCTGGAAAATGAATGATAATAGATTATGGTGCACAGTGAAGCGCTTATGTACTGCATTTCTATACATTTAAATAACCTATAATGTATTCTGTGTTCATTTTGCTTCAGTGCCGTACCCTTGCTCTTCCCCTGGCAGTCCTTGAGGTCTGTACTTGTGGTAGCGATTGTGTCGGCGAGCGCCATGAGCGACATCTGCTCCATCCGAGTTAGACCTGGCAAACTGGAGTGGAGGAGGTGGCTGGACAGAACCTGGGCATGTTCTGGACCAAAGTATGTAGGACTGTACTGGGATAGGTCTATAACCTACAGACAGGGAACAGGACAGAGAACAGTTTGTAAGATTCTCCCTATGTGGCATTTCTAATTTATAAGACAACACGGGGAGGAAAGACATAATGTTTAAATGCACGATGCAGCACGGATGGATTTAAATCTACAAGACAGGCATGATAATGGATTTTAACTATAAAAGCTTTTTTCATTTGTCAATATTTAATGCATTAGCCATGGCCACAATGAGCTTTAACTGGTCTATCTTTACAGGAAGGCTTTCTTTTTATTATTATTATTTGAATAACTTTGATATGTGTAACTGTCTTAGCTCCACACCAGTGTACCAAAAATGTTGCTGTTCACACTAATTTTTTAAAGGAAATCTCTTGTAATCACGTAAAAGTTAACAAACGCTGACCTTATTCCCCGCTTCCTCTTGCTCGCTGTCCAGGGGGTCCAGGTCGACCATGTTGGGCGTATGAAAGAGCTCATCGTAAGCATCCGTATGGCTGGAACCGTGCCCGCTGTCTCCACTCACGCTGCCTACTTTATCTGTACAGAGGCACAGGACAGAACTAAATTACACAAGACACATACTTCATAAAGGCCTGAAGACAAGTCTCCCTCCTGCTGGGGAGACAGCAGATTAAATTAAAATATCAAAGAGCAAGACTTTTTTTTTTTTTTTTTATTGCTGTACGCATGCATTTCTGCTTTCATTCTTCACTTTTTGTTTCCACAGACACACGGTGTGAAAAAACCAGGAGAGCACGAAGCAAGAGGAGTGGGATGTTATTCTCAGGTTTTTTGCACCTAAAGGCAGGGTCGCAAATAACGGCAACTGCTTTTCCACTTTAAATACGGCTCATCTGTGCTTGTTTGTATACCTGCTTAAAATCGTACCTGAGGAACATTTTGGATGTTTGTCAGAGTTAAAGTCAAACTACACTCTACCTTATTCCAACAAGTTGCTACGAGTGGTGTAGCTTTAGCTTTATGCTCAGAGCTGCTATTACCAGCAGAGGCAAAGTTCAGCGAGTGAACATGCTGCAAAATAGTAGATTAATAGGAACAATAAAATAAATAAAAACACGATCAAAAAAATGCCCAATTTGCTGGCACTGTAGCCACGCAGAACACATTTCTCCAGAGAGTAATCCTGCTTCTCTTTCCTTCTCTTTCTTTAATAGACTTCCATGAATTCAGTGAATAATTTTAAAAATGTTTTAGTTGGATTTAAATTTCTGCACATCCATCCATCCATTATCTATACACCGCTTAATCCTCACCAAGGTTGTGGGGGGCTGGAGTCTATCCCAGCTGACTCAGGATGAAGGTAGGTTCACCTGGACAGGTCACCAGTCTATCACAGGGCTACACTTAGAGACAGACAACCAAGCACACTCACATTCACACCTACGGACAATTTAGAATCACCAATTAACCTCAACATGTTTTTGGACTGTGTGGGAGGAAGCAGGAGAACCCAGACAGACCCACACTGCACGGGGAGAACATGGAGACTCCACGCAGAAAGATCCCAGGTGTCCTCACCGGGATGCAAACTGGCAACCATCTTGCTGCGAGGCAACGGTGCTAACCACCGCGTCACCTTGCAGCCCGTTCTGCACATTAAGAGCATTTGTTTTCCATTCAATTCAACATTGTCATAATATGGTGGTTTTTTCAGTACTTTGCTGCACCTGATCGATACACAAAGTTTGCTATCGTTCTCATTGCTGAATGTATTTCCTCTTAAACCACACGTTCTATGCTCACCAGGATTTGGTGTGTCCTCATCAGCGGCCAGAAGGGCGTACAGAGGCAGGGGAGGGACGGAGCTGATCTCCGTGTAATCGGTGGCGGAGCCCTCTGCTTTGCCGAACATCTTGCGGTCCCTGGCTGTGCTGCCGCCGGCGCTGATGGTTCGGGAGCGCACACGTTTCTCTGGATTGGCGGTGTTGTCTTTAAGTGGCACAATTTCACCAGCAATGCACTTCACCAGGTGGGAGAGAATGGCTTTCGCACGGTGAACCTTAAGATGGAAAAATAATGTAAGTCAATGTAAATTACTTCTTTTGTTAAGCAACTACAACAAAGGCTGATGTTTTGACAGATTTCATTGTTCTTAAATGCCTTGATCTGCTTTATTTTACATGAGTGACAAAACTGACTTGTCGTACCACCTACGCAAGGATCTCAAATAAATTTTAAAAAATCAATTGAAGACATAAATTATATGCAAGTTTAAACAGTATTTGGGTATTTTTCTTACCTTCCCGAGGTCCATAAGCTCCAGTAACTGTACAGGATGGTACTGGGGTAGGGTGGGAAAGAGTTGGTGAGCTGCTTCAAAAAGCCCAGAATCCTCCATCTCTACAGGCAGGTCATAAGCTGTTCTCTTCCCACTGAGTTTCTGAGCTAGGCTCATCATTGACCTCGTCAGGGCCTTTTTTGGAGGGGCCAGTAAAGCGTTGGGGGCCGCAGGGCTGAGACCCTCCTCCTGGCACTGTCTGACTGCTGAGACTATGGAGGAAATGCTGCTGCTGATGTCTGTGTCTTGGGCAACTGTGACATTAGGTTTGGGTGGTGCTGGCGGCTGCCACTGAGAGTAGACGTGCATCTCACAGTCCATGCCAACCACCAGGATTCCATCTCGTACCCAGGAGAGGGAAACTGGGATTGGCAATGAGCCTTCAACAGAGGAGACCAGATTGACCGATCGAAGCAGAACCAGGCGAGACAAGCTTTGGTCTCTCGTGGCATCAGAAGACAGACCCAGTTCTGGAGGCTTCCCAGCCAGACGGCCATACATATAAATCTTTGTCCCAATGCCAACAGTCAGAACATGTGATCCATCCTCTTGGGAAACCCAGTCCAAGTGAACCAGGCTCTTACTAGTAGAACCAAGACAGTTCTCGTTAGGAATTGAGAAGTCGATGTTACTTGGAATATCGGTACTTCCAGTCATATTGCTAACAGCATAGCTAGCTGTTGGGTCTGTGCTGTCCAAGACGATGGTCTGCTCTAGAATCCACTGTGAACCACCAGTAGACTCACACTGGAAGATGCCGATGTGGACCAGTGGCTCTCTAGTGTTCGCTGGGTTCGGGCTTAAAGTGAGATTTGGACTGTGCTGTACCGTGAGCGTTGGGGTCAAGAGGGTGTTGTTGGTGCTGTAGTGTACAAAGGGGGAGGATGCCAAGGTAGGCGGAGAAGCCAGCAGTCCATGAGAGTGAAGATGAGGTGTTGCGGGTAGAGGTGTGTTCGGTATCTGCCTGTAGGCAACTGCAATCCGTCCAGTGTGGCAGCAGCTCACCTCTACGGGGAGACCTGGCACACTGACTGCGCTGCTGCTGGGAAATCTCTCCTCCACCAGGAGGGGCCACTCCTCCCACTGGTACACCAAGTTGTTCAAACTGCAGGGCTCCGGCGTCTCAACATTGCACCTGAAGAAGCGCACCTTTCCATCAGAGCAGGAAGTAGCGAGGAGGTAAGGCACACGGCCAGCTGGCAGAGAACAGGATGAACTCAAGTGATCTAGGAAGAGAAGAAAGAATACGCGATTATTCTACTTGACCCTTTCTCTTCTAAAATGTACAAAACACTTCTGTGGACTTGTTTTTGTTAGTTTTTAAAGTTTTGCTTTCTAGATATTTAGCAGACTTTCTTAAATTACAACTGGAAATCATTACTTCAAAACATGACTCCACACTTTACAACAAAAAAATCCCAATCTTTTTTAGAACAGTAGCCTTTTACAATCCATGTTTTTAAACATTTGCTAACCAATTCTTTAGAAATTAAGCTCAAGTGGCACCATAATAATTGCACTTCAGTCTGTGTGAGTAGCAGTAAACGCCTTATCTGAGTACAACCACATGTAATGTATACAAACGTGTGTCCTTATTGTCCCTCACCTGCTGAGGGAGTGACACTGATGGCTTCCACCCCCTCTGGAAGAGCCATCTCTTGACTGTACAGCCTGTGTGTTGTGAGGCTGAGGCGACAGGCGCTCTGCAGATTGGAAGTGCAGGATTTACTCTTCTGAGTTATTGGAGAGCTGACTGTGTCAAAGATAAACTTCGAGCTGTTCACAGGAGAAGCTGTGGTGGTATCCTTCTTTGTCTGGGTTTCTTCTGTGGGGACACAAACATAAGGAAACTGTTATGAAAAGACAGGACAATTTTTTGGTCAAAGTCATTGTTCATTTTTTCTACATTATTTTATAACAGACTGGATTAGAGTCATTATTTGAAAAGTCTATTAATCACTTTTGCAGTAGATCTACTACCATCTGCTCAGAGTGAAACCAGAAAGCACATTGTAACACTTCTCAGTATCAACAGATACTGTTCATCAGTTCAAGACATATTAACAACAGAAGCTTTGCGAAGAAGAAATAAATAGATTTGGAACATAACAGTGTGGTTTGGTGATAAGTGCCTCAGCATCAGTGTAGATTTATACACATTATAAAATGGGGAAATAAGTGTTGGATTTCAAAAATGCTTAAAAAAAAAACCCAGCAGAGTTATTGCTAGTTAATCACAACTTTGTCAGGATTCCACTTCTTGTGACTTTCTCTCAAAACTGTCCTGCCGTTCATTTCTTTGCTGAAGGATTAAACGGGACGGTAGAAAACCTCTCCTACATCCTGGGAACTTTAGGATGTAGGAGTGTAGAATCTTTTGTCCAAAGGGAGCGTAAATATGGGCTGGGAGGGTGGGTGGTGTTTTGTATTTTATTTTGTATTTTATTTTGTATCCCCTGATCCCTCTTGATTGTGTTCTGCAATGTACAGCACTTTGTGATGCATGTCATGTATGAAAAGTGCTTTATAAATAAAGTTTGATTGATTGATTGATTGAAGATTTTTGTCCAAAGTACCCACCCATGGCGACGGGCCGAGCAGCGAGATGGAGATGCCACATGTGCAGGACCGAGCGACCTGTTGGGGTTAATTCTACCACCACCAGGAAAAAACGCGCTGAGAAAGCCGGCTGACTGGAGGCTGCAGGGAAACACACAGAGAATGTTAATAAACTGTGAGATGCTTTTTACTAAGCTTCTAAAATATTCGCATGTTAAAGTGTCACAGTAACAAAAAAAAATATCTATACCATTATGAGGAGGATCAGGAGTTTCTTGTGTGGCATCTGTTCTCTCACTGCCGAGGATCAGATCCTCCTCGAACACATGCAGGAGCTGGGTCTCCTTCCCCTGCTGTAGAGAGCAACAGCAGCTTTTATCAAACTAAATCAGGTGCAGACACCGAAAAACATGTTACATCAACTGCTGAGGGTATACGCAGACGCAGCAACACAGACACAAGCTGTGTTATTGTTACATACACAAATAGGCACGCACGCGCTCGCACACGAACCGCCTGAGGGGGATGAGGGAGGATTTGCTCTGCACCCGTTTTTGTTTTTCCATGGTTGACCTTTCACAGAGACTCAGAAGTCTACCGCAAAACATTCTGTGCTATAAATGGTCTAGATTTCAACTGTGGCTTTTTTAAAATGTATTTCAGAAATACGTTTCATTTCAGGTGAAAAGTTTCCAACACTTTGATCACCTCATCTAACAGCAGAGAGACATTGTCAGAGAGAGAGAGCGAGATCAAGTGGAATTTATCTGGCATGCGAATACAATCCAGCTCTCTTGGGCTTCATGTATACTTACAAAGTCAGTGATGGCATCCAGCTCGATAATACACCCTGGCTTTGCCGTGGACTGCTGACTGATGATGTTGAACACCTCCCCGACGGATTTCTGAAGTGACACAAACATTAAAGGAAACAATTACATGTAAATTTACAGTATAATCAGGCATGTAATTAACAAATAACATCCATTCATTATCTATACACCACTTAATCCTCACTAGGGTCCTGGGGGGCTGGAGTCTATCCCAGCTGACTCAGGGTGAAGGCAGGTTCACCTGGACAGGTAACCAGTCTATCACAGGGCTACACTTAGAGACAGACAACCAAGCACACTCACATTCACACCTACGGACAATTTAGAATCACCAATTAACCTCAACATGTTTTTTGGACTCCGGAGAACCCGGACAGAACCCACGCTGCACGGGGAGAACATGGAGACTCCACGCAGAAAGATCTCCCGGGTGTTCTCACCAGGATGAGAACCGGCGACCTTCTAGCTGCGAGGCAACGGTGCTAACCACCGAGCCACCTCACAGCCCAACAAATAACATGATATCCCCAAAACTTTCCTGTTTATATGCAATGAGAGAAATATATATATTTTTTAAAAACATCGCTGCCATTTGACTTATTTTAACTGAATTGTGCTTTTATGTAGTCATCCGAGTTCAACACCGATGACAATGAGGCGGCAAATTGATAAGCATGTTGCTGATTCCATACCAGTAAAGCGAGAAATGCAATGTTGTTATTGGTGTGCAATAGAAAAAAAAATGTTGATTTACTTGTTGGAGAAACCTGTCTGATGACTCACCGATATCTCAGGATTGGAGAGCTCACTCAGGAGTTTCTTAGCTTCAATCACAGCCTGATAGAGCCTGAGTGACAGACCGTCACTTGCCACAAAGCAGGCGCTGGGAGAGTTGCAGTATGCACCTAAAGAGTGAGGGAAGAAGTGAACGTTATCTGCCATTATACTGAGACGCCTTAAATTTGATAAACACTCCTGCTATAAAGTCAGCAAATATCTGCAGTTATAAACTCACAGAGACTATATATACATTCTACTGGGAGGAAATGATTTGGAAATTGGAGCCTTCATGAGTTTTGTTAAAATGAGTTGCTTGCACAGGAGCTACTTCTTATATATTTACACACAAATGAGGGTAAAGTGGACTCAAAAAATGGTCTAAAAATTATGTACATGCAGTTTTGAGGTCCCAAAGCTAGTCTCATTTGGTCATAATTAATTATTCAGAAATATATTTCCTTAACTCAAAAACTGTTTGGTAAACACAGGGAATTGTGAAAATGAAGCTGTGCTCGCAACAATGGCCGATTATTACAGCCACACAAAAGAAAGTACTCAGTAATCTGCAAACAATAAAAATGTTCTCTCACCCAAACAGCTGCTGGGTATGAGCGTGGGTAGCCAGGCTACATTAGCGAACGCTGATGCATGGAGAGAATTGATTCTCGCTAGCTCCGAGACCCCGCCTGACAAAGACAGTGGGCCGACGGGGTCCACTCTCCACAAAATCAGCTCACTGTAAATTGCATTGGGATCCTGGGAGACTGCACCCAGGGACACCCGACTGGGCCGTGACCCGCGGGACAGAGATGTGGTATGAGAGAAGCCAGAGGGGCAGGCTTCCGGAGGAGCCAGGATGTTGTCTGCGTCTGGCGTCCTCAAGGCATTGTGGTGTGAGGTGGTGAGGAGGAGAGGGAGCAATGAGTGACAGGCCAGGTCATTGAGGTGGAAGCGGTGGCCACAGTACCGTGACTTGTGAGAGACACTGAGCACAGTGGAGAAAGCAGAGTCCTCTGCGAAGCTGACTGCCCACTGATTTAGAGAGCCATCAGCATGTTTGGAGATCATAAGCACATTGGGGGTGAAAATGCTTAGTCGAAGACTACTGCTGGCTGCAGCTTTTCCATGACCTCCATAGCTTATTAGGGCAGATTTGGTTTGAGGCAGCGTGCTCCCGGGTGGTCGCTGTCTGCCATGTTGGATAGCCAGATCCACATTCTTGTTACAGGCATACATAACCACACTGTGGCTCAGGGAGATGGCGTCCCCTGTGGGGAACGCTACAGGGATACGGGACACAAACGACACCTGAGAAAGAAAGACAGACATCATATAAAACGGAACCTAAAACTTACAGCTTTGATTTAGTTACAAGGACCCAGTCAAGAAAATATAAGAATTCATGAAACGGACAAAATTGAACCAACACAAGATGACACTGAAGATCATTAGCAAATTGGTTTGCTTAAAACAAAGGACTGACATTTTTCTCATCTCCATTCATAAGGTGCGTGACAAGTGACTTCCTAAAATTAACTGAGTCACAAAGGCAGGAGTGGAGACTCGAGGGATGCGGCCTTCTTCACTTGCTCCCTTCATATATGTAAAACAGAATTAATGTTCAACAATACTTATGCTAATTCTGAAACCACAATACTGTCTGCTTTAACTAATTAAAGCACCAAGGCTTAATCAATCTGAATGCCAATGAAACTGGAGATTCTTTTAGTTGCTTTGCCTGACTGACTGACTGCTTTGCACTGTCATGCAGTTCTCATTATTTTTTTAACCGCTAATAAAAATGCACCAAAGCTCTTTTGAATTTGATATGAAGTCACACATAATTATAATATAATTGTCTGAACGGATGGTTGAGAAGCCATTTGAACAGCAACACCATCACGGCTGTCTAAATGATTCACCGCCTTATTGAGATGATAAATTTCTGTTTTGCCCCCGGAAGTACGTCTTGAAAACACAAACAGATCACATGAAAGAGTGACCAAGGGAAAGCCTGCTTAATGTTGCAGTGCTCATTAAATCTGGAAAGTAAAACGCAATCAATATTTGCTTTAGTGTTGCATCTGTGTCCCTATATTTCATTATTAACCTTTGAAACAGGACAGTACAAATTAATAAAGAGAGAGAGATTATTCATATTTGCAGGCAGCTTAACGTCGAAGGAATACGCCCGCATCAATATAAAACAATGAATGAACTAATAACATTTAATTGTTATACATTAATTGCATCATCCAGTACCTGAGCTTGCCTGAACATGCCCGGCTGATATTCATCCAACCAGTCCACATGCCAGACCAACAAAGAGCCGTCCATGGGATGAATGCTGAACAGCATGTCGGCCCCTTTGTTCCACTCCTCTAATAGCACATCCACCTGGTGCTCCACCGCCGCCAGAGGAAGCTCCACAGCCTCCAGTCCTTGGGGGTCACTTGGCCTGCTGCTATTATCGTCTTCAAAGTTATCTTCATCCTCGGGGTCTGGAAAAGAATGCAAATTATAGTAACCGAGAATGTGCAGAGGTCTGACTTTCAGATTGGGCTTTCTTTTTGACAGTGTTGTTTTTTTGTTTCTGTACCTTCATTAGAGCATTCATTCTGCTGTTCCAGACTCCCTCTGAGCTGCTGCAGGAAGACCTCCATGGCTAAAGTGAAATGAAGCTCTTTGTTGTTGAGCCAGTGGACAGTAAACGGACCCCCGGGTTCCTCGTCGTCCGTAGCGTTCAGAGAGGAGATGGAGGGCAGTAGAGGAATGTCTGTGAAAAGTAATAAGGTAATAAACATGTCATAACAATTTGAAAAAAGAACGAGCGACAGAAATTTACATTATGCTGGGCTGTGGACAAGCAGGATAAAAACACATCTGCCGCAGCAAATTAACTCTCATGAATACAAATATGATTTAGCATTCTAAAACAAACAGATAATCATAAAGGACCTCTGAGCGTCAAGGCTGAGACAATCTACAAGATGTTGCCCTGACTCTGATCAACAGAGAGGAACAAAATGAAACGCTCAGTTTGTCCGCGTAGCTCTTACTAAGCACAAAAGCGAAATGGGATGACAAACAAACAACCTCAGCAAATATACAAAACTAATAGCAACATTTTAATAAACACAGAGGTGAGGCCCTCAGTCCTCAAGGGTATTCTCAGGACTAACTACACTTCTATGCTGCAGGCGGTCTTCTTTGTATGATCTTCAAATTCTTCACTAAATTTGAAGAAACTGTTCGACAAGATTCTGGTGATAACACTCCACAGACTAATTAGGAAGTTATGTGTTTGCCCAACCTGTGGCAGGGTTGATGCTGGCAGCGATGTGGAAGTGGCAGAGAGCGTTGGCATGGGGTATGTTGTTGCTGCTCCTCTTGTGGTTATAGTGTCGGCTCTGGTGGTGAGGCAGGCAGCCGGTCAGAGAGGGCAGAGGTATGTCCCGGTGAAAGGAGGAGTGCCACGACTCTTGAAAATTCAACTGTAAGGAAAACATTTGTTAATTAAGTTAATTCTATGGTTGCAGAAATTGAATTTATGACTAAACTCTGCCTTGAGCTGATCTGTGTGTTTTTATCATCACTTAAAAGTGTATGTATGTCACAGAGGCACTGAGATCGTAATCACCAGAGATTTAGAGCTTCTTATATAACTTGAAAACAAGGGAAGCGAAGCGCCATACGTCCCCGTCGCCCCTTTCAGCTCGACACAATGCAGATTAAAGCCACTTTTGAGGGTTGATGTGAATTACTAACGAGGCTTCACGACTCTCCTACCTGCCTGCGCCGAGCTGCTCGGCATCGGTGAACAGATGTTTCCCTTAGGGATTGAGATTTAATTTAATGTTATTGACGTTTAAACAGCATTTAAGTTAACTGCCCAATTTGTCTATAAAAAAATAAAAAAAACGGAGCCACACAGAGACAGGCAGCATGGAAGAGTGACTGAGAGAGAGAGATGGGTAGGTTATGTAATTTGGGTTTATTCGGATGTTTCCCAGCAATGTGCAAAGACCTACGGAGCCAGACTTGAGCTTCTGTGAATGTTCAAAGTAAACATCAATCTAATACGACAGCCAAGAATTTTAAAGTGGAGCAACTTTACATTTATAAAGAATATTTCACAAGATAACCATTTTCATGTCGACTCCCTGGTGCAGAATAAGTACTTTAAGAGCTGCATGACTACAAGTGTTATTGAGACGTCTGAGCTCATAACATCTGCAAAGAGCTCATTTGCTACATATTGTGGAAAATTGCGCATTAACTCACCGTTTGAGTACGAATGTGCCGAACGTGTGTGTGCAACGCAGAAACACAAACTTCTAAAAGATGTAGGTAGACATATTTGATTTTGGACCAATCGCCGTCTCCTCCAGGTTCTTAATTAACGTCACTGATTTTGCCAGAAATGTTGTACTTTTGTCGTCACCTTGAGGCATCATATTACAAATTCAGTTTAAAATGGGTCAACCTTAGTGCTGTCCATCCATTCAAAAGGGAGAGAATTACCCCAGACTTAACACAGGCCACATCACGCAGCGCTGTCTGTGATTTTGTAATGAATAATTCCACGCAGGTACTCTTACCGACTCTCCTCAAGGCACAGTTGAGTCATTTGCATACCTATTTATCCTGTAATCTAATGTGCCCTGAGCTCTGTTAGTCCCAGTGAAAGCCATAACCATTTAAATGTCCAAATTGAAATGGATGTTGGTATTGTTCCTGAAGCCCACAGGGGTTAGGCTGCGACGACCAAGGTCACTTCAAACAGGAGACACGACTATTAAAAACCTGACCTCGCAACAGCAAACTGAACTAGAAAAAAAAAACCAACAAGCAGAAGTCAAAGTTAGAATTTCTGGGTGTTACACATATTACAGAAAGGAGGCGAGTATTCGTCCCTGACGTTCGTCTTAAGCTCTACAAAGCTCCGAAAAACCATCTTCATGTCTCAGCCAATTAATTTTTTCCTTTTAACTCCACTAAGTCGCTGTTGTTTTCTATCTCCTTTCTCCGTGTTGTTTTATAATTTCTCGCCCTCCCTTTGCTCTTTTCCCCCTCATCTCTGCAATACCCTGGCGTTACACAGAAAAAAAAAAAAACAATAATCTGGCCTTCATTTCAGAGCAAATGGGACAAACCACGATCACAGCGTTTGTGCCATTTATTTTTGGCTAGGAAAATAATTAAATAAGGGCATTTCTTTTTGAATTCTGTATCCAAATTATTGGCTATATACACTCACTGCGATACAGCTTCACTAATAAATAAGTTTTGCTTGTTGTCAGCAAACGCAGATTTGCTGGCACAGTGCTTTAAGGTGGCTGGTCTTCAAACTGTACCCATCCGTTTGCCAGAAAGTCAGATTACGATGCTCGACGGAATGTATATTTAGGAAGTGACGCACAGTAACGATGGTAAGTTTGCCGGATACGCTGACAGTGCTGTTGAATTAAACTGTGTTATATTTTGTCCACCGAAATTTATATTATAAGTGTAAAAAAAAGAAAAAAAACAAGAATCACCAGTCGCACCAAACACCAACACCTCTCTAAAGATGATTTTGACAAAAGCCAAAGGTTAAATTTACTGCAGTACTATTGCATTAGACTGCATACATTTCAGCTCGGTGTGCCTAAATAAACAAGTTTTAAGCAAAAACATTGAGGTTGCCTACTTCTTGTGCTGTTCGTCCTTGTGTCTTCCCATTGCAGGTGCTTTTCCTCGAGGGCCCGGCACATTTCTGCATTTCGCCGTGTTGGCCAGAAGTGTGGTTGTTATGGTGACCGGAGAGGAGGCTGTCACCTGGCAACAGCGTCTCTGCCCAGAGCCGACACACGCTGTCCTTACAGCAGGTGAGCAGAACATTGCACACTGCACCTCTGCTCGGAGAAATGAGAAGGAAATAATTGGTGGATAAGGAAGCATAATAGCGATAGGTTTACGCTGAGGTCCGCTGGAAGGAACAGAACTTCTCGTGACTGCGTTAATCATTTAGTGCTGATAGTACTATGCAACAGCAGGTCAGAGAAATAATAACATGCTGAGAAGTAAGCTAAATGTCAAATATGAAGCATAACAAGCAAAGTTGTAGCAGAACTGGTGATAATGAAATTAATCTAATCTTGTCTTAATCCATCGTTACGGAACAGGATGTACTTGTTTGCAGTATAAGACAGTGTTATTCTATTAACCATTATCAGTCATCATCTAATTATTGGCATCCCATTAACATACCAGTAAAGCCCAGATCACAAATTCCAACAGTTCCAAAAGCCTAACATGTGTCAGCAATAAGCTCAGCGAGAAGTTAGCATTACACCGCCGTACTGTCTCTGCTCTTTTCATAGTCGTTTGCTAAATAATATTCCTGTTACGTACTGTTCAGCATTTAACTGGTTTTGAATTTTGCTCCTTCATTATCGCCCAACCCAAAACACACTGTATATCATGCGGCTAAACAAACAGAGATAATTGCTGCTCCAAACAGGTTGTGGAAAAAGGATATTGCTGCTGCTGTGTAACCAACCTACTGCTATGGTCAAACACTGAAAACTAACCACGTTTGTTTACTTGTGTTTTATCCCGTATTGTTCTGCATAGATGTGTGAGATTGGGCCACCAGCTGAGAAAATTAATCACGGCTCCTGACGGGTGAAGCTGTGTCCGTACCGTGGCATGTACTTGCTGGTCTTCCTCCAAGAGAAACCAGTCACAGAGCGGGGATGGGCCAGGTAGACGAAGGAGAAGGCCAGCTCGCCCTGGACAGTCACACTGGGGTCTGGAGGTGTAAAAAGTCTGGAAACACCTGACTTCCACTTACTGGTGCTGTACCAGACCTTTACTAGGCAGTCATCCTGAGAAAGGAGAGACACACAGGGTTGAAGCGTTGAAACCATTCAGATGTAGTCACACCACAAGGTAACAGCTGCTGGTCAATTACTTTACAGTTACACCCGAGATTAAATGGTTTGGGTTTGTCAAAGTGAATAAATGAAGGGAAACGAGCTTGACTTTCACACCCTTCTTTGCATCTGAATCCATACAGGTTTAGCAACTCTCGGAAAAAGCTGCTTACCTGCCCAGCCGTGGCAAAGAATTCCCCGTCGGGAGAGAACTTCATTAGACTGACTGAAGACGCGGTCCTTCAGAGGAAAAAATACAAATACATTAACTTCAAAACCTAATAATACTAAGTCTGTAGTCTTTTCATACATAATTAGCAACAGTGAAAGACAGAATACAGTAAGCTGAGTGACTACAGTCACTGAGATGAGTATTGGAATATGGAAAGAGCTTTACTAGCTAAATTTAGTAAATTGTCTATTTAATGTGCGACTAAAAACAGTATTGATAATGTAACAAGTTATCCTGTTTAAGTGTTTGTGAAATCTAACATTTTGTTAAAAATCCTTTCTTTCAAAAACAAATAAAAGCAATTAAACTCACAATCCTAAAGTTTTAGCGAGTGGCAGCATTGTGTAAAGATATTGAACTTCTCAGCTCTTACTTGCTCTCCCAGATGCACCTCCAGGCAGAGCGAGAGTCTCTGATGGTCATTTTTGTCTGCTGCTCCGTTTCTTCAGCTTCATCTTTGACTCCATTAGCATTAGACCACAACTGGAGGCTATTAGAGCCTGTCAGGAGAGTGCTGCCTGGATACACAAGAACAACGTCTCTTTCAGGACCGTTACCATCAAATATTTGTTTTAAAAAACGAAACATGAATCTATATACTGCAAGAGAGACACATATATGTATTTATATTGACATATACGAATTACAGTACCAACCAATTCGTTTTTTTTTTGTTTTGTTTGTTTGTGTTAGATTCAGGACAAGAAATGCATCAACGTACCTGTGGGGTGCCAGGCCAGGTTCCGTACCATAGACTGTAATACAAACTGACCAGTCTTCTGCCATTGGCAGTTCAATTTCTGCACAGAACAAATAAACACAACAATTAATTGTTATTAATAGAATCACCCTGAAAAAAGTAGTTTCCTTCTGTCACCTAGTTCTTTACAATACGTGTAGCTACAAGAACCACCAGCGAAGCCGCTTTCATGTGAGTCACATGTAAACAGGCCACATGGAAAACGATTTAACTCCAGGGAAACATCTGCAATGAAAGAGGCCCTGGGTATGTCTACGATGGCACACATTCCTTCCATTTCTTATGACTATTCTTTGACCTTTCTGACAACAGGAGGCTGTTCAGCTCCAACATTTCAAATTCCTGCACAGACTATAAAACACAAATGAATCGTAGAAATGACAATGACTGCAAGATTCACACAATTATTTACACAATATACACATTTTAGCAAGAATGTGGATGTGTGTCTGATATATTTGCTCCTCCCTGGAGACTTTCAATGCAGCGCTTTATTCTAGTGTTTGTGGAGGAACAATATTCTGCTGTATTCCAAATATTGTGAGAGCTTCAGCAGAAAGACAAGGTTTCCGGTTTCTGTCGACCTCAACACATGCATGACTGGACTGTGACTGGAAAATAATGTGCTCGACTCACAGTCAACGAGGTGTCCTTCTGATCCGGGTGCTGAACAGGCTCAAAGACACACACGATGCTTCCATAGGAAGCTGCAATCTGACAAGACAAAAGCAGCAAAAGGCAATATGTTAGATATTAAGACAAAGAATGAAAAAGGATCACTGGAAAAATATTTGCAAGAATTACATATTATTCCATAAAGCAAATTCCAGCTCTCATATACAACAATACCAACTGCTTGCCTGGATCCAGACCTTTAAATCTGTCCCTTCCCCCTGAGTCGACTCATTCAGATATTCAATTTTAGGTTGAAACGGGCTGGAACAAATTGACAATTCTATTTGATTTCAGGCAAATTAACTGTAAGTTCATGTGACAGACTTAAACAGCCTGTGTTAAAGCTGCCTTCAAACTCATGTTACTTGTCGGGGGGAAAAAAGCCTCGTTTTTGACATTTTAGGAAATAAACAATGACCGTTTATCCTTAGTAGATCTTTACTAAAGGTCCTGTTTGGGAGCAAACAAAAACATGTATAATCCACTCCAGAAACCGCGACATGTCTCAAGACTAAATGAGTGTGGCTCCTCGATGACACACCAACAACACCTTGAGCCTCCAACAATCCAGTGTTGAGTCAGCACTGACTTGTCTACATATGCACACTTCTCATTCATGTAGGGCTACATGCTCAGATGCTCTCCACGGGAGCCACGGTCACACTGTTAAACTTAAAGAATGGGTGAAATTTCTCTGACAGCGATAGAAGCCGTGGGTAAATAATACGCTTCCTGTCAAAGAATGACAGAAGTGAATCACATGAGCATGTGTAAGCATGCACATCTACAAATGCACACACACGCATACAAACCATCGAGCGTGATCACATGGAAACCCTTCCAGACAGACAGACAACGGCTGAGACAAAGGAAAACACATGCTTCTTTTTTTCCAAGACATGCATCCATATTCAGTAAAACCAAGTTCACATTTAATAAAAATGTAATCAGATTTCAGTAAAGGGTCACATGCTTGTGCTGTAGAGACATACTAAAGATCTAGTGCAGAAAATAAATAAAGAAACAAAAGAAGGAACAAATGTATGTTAAGAAACAAAACAGCTTCTTCTATGTGGTTGCAATGATGACTATTCTTTGTTCTCATTTTCAAAAAATCCCAAGAGAGGTTTCGAGATTGCATTATGCTGTAAGAATATTTCAGCAGTCATATAAAAACTCCAGTGAAACCATTTTGACTGAAGCAGAAAGAGCAATGATGTTACAGTTGGTAAATGTTGACTTAATGCCACTGCCCTCCTACTGACAGCGGCGGCCTGTTCTACGTCCATTCTGTACGACTTTGTTTTGATTCCTAAAGAGATCTACGACCTGATGCAAGGCACTTCAGAAGTGTCTCAAACTAATGTGGTATTCTTCAGTTATAAACAATTTGATGTAATGAAGTGGGAAGATGCATGTTTCAGAGCAGCAGATCATCAGCCCTTACCAAATGCATCTGAAGCGACACAACCCTTAAAGTACGAGCAACACAGGGTGTAGTGTGTAAACTGAATGCATTGCAAATATCACGGCGTGCAGAGGGCAATGAAGTGGAACTGGCAAGCATACCGACTTAGCATGCTTAAACAGAGGCTGGACCATGCTGCAGGCATGTGAGGGTAGTTCTGGGCCAAGTGAATTGGATTAAACATCACATGAGGGGAGTGGTGAGTGGTAAGGATTGAGCGAGCAATTTTTTACATTTATTTTAAAATATCAATAAAGCTGTTTTAACAAGACCCTCACAGTAAAATAAAAAAATAATCCTAGATTGTGCCTGCCTTTATTATCAAGTTCATGCAGATGCAGCAATCGTGGAATTCGCGTTTTGTATTAAACACAGCACTGTTGCTCAAACTGGAATTGTGAGTACCACGTCGTAATAATTAAGGATAGACTACTTGAGAAGTACAGAAGTGTTAGTGTATACATGTACATATTGCTTGTAATCATTGCCACTGAAGAATTAAGGAATATATTTTGTGAAAAGAAAGAAAAGAAAAACATCCAGCAGTTTTTTTTTTTTTTATAAATACAGCCTTGTATATTCACACAACATCCAGGAGGGTCAACTGCTGAGATAAAGTTGGTAAGAATTTACAAAGTTTTCAGAAAATTGGAATAGAAGTGGCTCACTGTTAAAAAATACCACAATAAAACACTGACCCCACTCAAACAGCCTGTATAAGGACTAAGAGAAGGTCAACTTCTGTAAACATGTGACGAGCTGTGTGCCGAAACTCGCTTCAAGGTTTTTCTTTCACTCAGTTTAAAAAAAAAAAATTTAAACATCATGAATTTTGTAAAGGTTGAATCATAACATGAAACAACAAATTCCAAGGATAGTAAAAGCTTTTGGTAAATTAAAATATTTTTTAGAATTCTTTTTGTTGCTACCAGGAAATTTTGCAACTAAACTGATGTCTGTACCAACTTCCTTCCATCCATCCATCCCTTAATCCTCACTAGGGTCGTGGGGGGCTGGAGCCTATCCCACCTGGACAGGTAACCAGTCTTTCACAGGGCTACACTTAGAGACAGACAACCAAGCACACTCACATTCAATTTAGGACAATTTAGAATCACCAATTAACCTCAACATGTTTTTGGACCTTGTGGGAGGAAGCCGGAGAACCTGGACAGAGCCCACACTGCACTGGGAGAATATGCAACCACCTTGCAGCTCGCAGTGCTGCCAAAACAGGGAAAAATCTCAGATCCAGTACTGCATTGGTGATCAAAGCTAATAAAAGACAATAAACTGTAACCTATATCTAACATAGAGTTCAGATTGTCTCTGTGCCACAAGTGAAATGTGGAACTCATCGAGAAACAACAGGACTACATTAAATAACTTTGACACATATTGACAAATCTTTTTTCCTCCTTCAAATGTAAATTATAAAAACATAGGATCTTTTTTTACACACTTAAAACAACTCTGGCATGGATAGGCTCAATCAGCGTTGTGTGAACTCGGTGGACAACGGCTTGAAGTGATGGACATTCATTTATATGTTAAAGTCCTCCACTCCAGCTTTGAAGGGACTGTCAGGGAGAACAGTGAATGTGCCTGCTGTACCACTCCTCGCTGTACCGGGTGATTTTTCTCTTCACTTAGACTTGATGACTGGAAGCTCAAGTTCATTAAACCACCCTTTGATGTTGCCAACAAATGTCTTTCCTGACAGCAGGAGCTGCCAGCACTTAATAAGGCGACAACAGCGCTTGCCACTAATGTGCTGTGTGAAAGAAGTAATAGGTAATCTAGGAGAAAATCTGAAAAGAGTTGTGGGCATTTTAATTAAAATTTGGATCGGATCAGTTTCACTGACACTGAACTGTGACCTGAGGTTCCCTACCAGCAGAACCGTAGATGTCCTCTGCTTTTTATATTTAATTTAAGCTCAACATGAGGGTGAAGTTACTGAGTTAATTAGTTGGGGAAGTGATTGATAATTATCTCTTTCTTTGAGCCACCCTTAATTATAGTTTGCTCTCAGTCAAACAAGAGGATGGTGTTAAGGGTATGGTTTAAATACGTTCCATTATAATTGTACTTAGAGCTGCAACTAGCACTAAACTGATGATTAATCTTGTACTTATTTTCACAATTAGTCGATTTGCCGATGAAATAAATGAAAGCGCAACACTGTCCTTCATTTTTCTATTCAAATATTTTCAGTGGGATTTGCTTTCCGTGTGATTATTGGGACATTTTTTTATATATATCGACCGTAACTTAAACTGCAGTGAAATATCCAGATCAGTCTGAGGACACAGTAAGACAGGAGACAACTCGATGACTCTTACCTGTCCACCCTGCAGCGAGCAGTCGACACAGCCGACCTGGATGTTGCCATGCTTCGCCCCTGGGATGATCTGCAGTCGCTCAAAATCACTGCCCAAAATCACCACATCGCAACCTGATGCATAGGCCTGTCAAGAGACGCAGAGGCAGCAAGGGACGTTAAGAGAGATGAAGATGACACTCATCCAGAGAGAATTGCATTAAGGGTCACTTGAACTGCACTTGTCCTGGTAGCAGTGTCAATGCATCAACATGCCACCACATGACAGCTCTGGAGTACAAACAGATAAGATCAGAATTGTAAAGCTCTATTTCTGTGGCTCTCTAAAAGGAAAATCCTCACATGAGCCATGATTCACCGCGACCGTGTCCCCTTCAGAAGAGGACACAAATGGGTTCTCCTATTGATCCCCTCTCTGAATAGCATGGAAAGCAGTATGTCATTGAGTTTGCATTCAGATGTACTGGTTTTGTATTTCAGGCATGTAATAAAGTCCTAACAAAGTACTTCCTGCAGAAAACGGAACCGGTGCTTTCCAGACTAAGTCAAAAACATCTGCTATAAAAAAAGAAAGCCCACTGTTCAAATATAATCCTCGGTTTGCTGCCCTTTTACTTAACATAACAGTTTTTCAGCAGCATCGGTGTTTGTTTGCTCAATACAATGAACAAAAATCCATTCAGCTTAGTAAAAAATTCACTTTTCCACCCCCCAAGAATCAGAGCTCCTAAAATGCTGAGAGGGAAATATTTCCACAGCTTGAAATATCTTACCGTGAATGGCACATTGTTGACGCTCCCGACAGAGAAACAGTTGTCCCCCGGGTTGACAGCCCCCGTGAGGACCTGATGGAGATTCATGACTCCGGTTTACAGTCCACGTATCTTCCTTCCTCCTCTCGCCTTCTTCACAAAACCCTCCCACTCCAGGTGAGATTCACGGGAAACCAAGGGAAGGATGTGTACATCTTTGCCCGTGGCCTGTAATTTTACAGCAGTGTCATCGGAGACTTGCTGTTAGAGGAGAAGGGAAGTATGTTAACAGAGGATTTGTGATTTCGGTAAGCATCAAGCCTAAAGCATATTACGGACTCCGGGATATTGACTGCAAATTCATTTAATACTCAGCCCTTGTAATGGTACCAAGGAGGAAACAAACGATCTCCAAATGCTTTCTGTTGAACCATATTATTCAAACATTGTTCTTAAGTCCAAAAAGGGACTCTGATGCACAAATTATACAGGTAATATACAAATAAGCATCAAGGGTTTAAACCTTTTTAGCAAATAGACAGATGACCAATGCATTTTGTCATCAAAGCTCTTTCAAACCTGCTGACTTCTCTCTGAGTTTAAAATGCATACCATTAATTGTGTCAGCTGTTTTAAAAGAGTTTTTTCTCTGAAAAATACATTCAGTCTGCTTGATTACTGACAAACTATTCAGCATGTACAGGAACTGGAGTGACGACCAGGACTGATAGAAACTAGTGCTGTGAATATAAATGGAGCTCTCACAGTGCCTGAAAAGGGACACGGGACAATCAAGGTGATGCTGTCGTAGCTGACTCTGTTCAAGTTCAATGTCACATTATCTCTGGGAGTGCAGTTCATCTCAATGAGAGTGCACTGTTGTCATGAATGCATATTGGTGCATAACTGACACTGCACATTGAACAAAAAAAAACAAAACACAAATGTATGACTCTTTTTGACAACCGAAAACACACTCGAAGACAGTTACACCATCAGACAGTGTTTTAGAATGATTCAAAGTTATTAAAGCGATAAACTACAGGAAAAAAAAAAAGAAGCTTTTTCATGCACCAGTTACATTTTGAGTTTGGGATAATTTGCTTCTATAACATGTGTTCTGTCAAACTAGTGGAGACAAAACATCCAGATTACACATTTGTCTGACTGCAGTTTGCATTTAGATATCAGATATCAACGATAATAGATATCTCTAAAGGCCTTCTATGCGTTTCCATTTCTCTTAAGTTGCATTTACATACACCAAACTTTCCACTTCTATTTCCATCCATCATCTATACCCCGCTTAATCCCCACTAGGGTCGTGGGGGGCTGGAGTCTATCCCAGCTGACTCAGGGTGAAGGCAGTAGACCCCCTTGACAAACCAGTCTATCACAGGGCTACACTTAGAGACAGACAACCAAGCACACTCACATTCACACCTACGGACAATTTAGAATCACCAATTAACCTCAGCATGTTTTGGACTGTGTGGGAGGAAGCCGGAGAACCCAGAGAGAACCCACGCTGCACGGGGAGAACATGCAAACTCCACGTAGAAAGATCCCGGGTGTCCTCACTAGGACGCGAACCGGTGACCTTCTTGCTGCGACGGTGCTAACCACCACTCCACCTTGCAGCCCTTGTATTCCCATCTACATTATTAAGGTTATACCAAAAATGTTTGACCATATATCAGCCATAGCCCGACTCAGAGAACAGTTTATTCCTAAAGACAATTCATATCTGTTCTGTCTGTCGACTGATTAAGGAAGTGCTATAAAGAGATATTCAACATCCACTTTGACTGCAACATGTCAACAAAATCAAATATAAAATGTTCGACAAACTGATGCAAATTTGGAATTACATAATGCTTCATTTGCAAATGTAATCCTATTGAAGAGTTGCAATACAAAAGGGCATTGTCTCATTGTAAATAAGTGCCTGGGGGAGTTTCATGGTGGTTGATAAATCTGCCCTATTCACCTGCAAAGTCTATCCTCAAAACTCAAACTTGTTATAATTCCTATAGAGATACTGAAGTGACAACAACAGAGGAACATGCGTTTGAAAACTGCAGTTTTTTTAACCTCTACATGCTGGCAGCAAATGAATACAAAAGGCCATTATTGAGAGGGTGCAGAGCAGGTGTCAGTCTGCCAAACGGGTCACCAAGGTGCAGGCTTACACCTTACTACAACACAGAAAACCCGGTTAATCCACTTAGGTGAAAACTTGTCCTGCACATTTCAGTCCAACTAAACTTCAGCCAATTTAAGAAACAAACAGAATAAACACTGTAAATCCAAATCACATGTCTGGGGGAAAAAAAAAACTGATGTCCCCTTTTTGGGCGCAAAGTATATTGTTAAAGTGTTAGCTAGCTGTTAGCATTAACAAGAGTCAGTTATGGCACTTACAACACGAAATAAGAGTCCTTCAGTGTCAGAGTAGCTCAAGTGTAGCGGTAACGGTAGGGTATTAAATACGCAAAGTTGAAGAAAATGAGGGCTAACTTATGTTTCCTGTGTTGTGGCAACTCACGTGATAGCGTTTCACACGCCAGGGCAATGAAACAGCCGCTGACAACACATCTGACCTACGTTGTGTCACCCGTTTAGCTGAAACAACGCAATTAGCACACTGCCTGAAGCTTCATACATGAGCTACACGTTATTAAACCCTCGAGCCGTGACGCTAACTTAGCTGTCAAGTTTAGCTAGCCAGCAGCAGTTCATGAAGGAGACACCGAGACAAGAGGCGGACGAAGTAATTAGCTACTTACTCTGTGCGGCTAACGTGTCACATATCCTGTAGCTGTAGCGCCAATAGTTCCTCCTCTGAGCTGCCGTCTTCGGTGAATGCACCGTTAGCCGTCCAGCGTTACGGACTCCCTCAGTTTAGCTAGCGTTAGCGCGCGCTAGCTTGTGCAGCGCTCTCCTTTAGCTTCAGAGCTACGAAGCCAGCTGCGGATCACTTATGACAAACATGCAGCGCCCCGACAGTCTCTGCTGGCCGAGACGAGGAGGTGTCTGTTTACGTCTCGAAATGCTAACCACGAGAAGGAGCCACCCTCTCCCCCAAGGTTAGCAAATAAAACGCTTCCACAGAGGAAGCTTTTCCTTATGTTGAAGATGTGTCATGATAATGACTGTTTCGACCGCAATGCATCATGGTCCTTGTAGTTGTACATCAAACACCGGCCTACAGCGGTGGAAGGTAACCGAGTAGATTTACTCAACTACTGCACTTAAGTACTGTTTTGAGGCACTTCCACTCAACTTGAATGGTTCAGTTATATGCTGCTTATATTTCAAATCCACTGCATTTATTTGGCATATTTAGATTGAAGGTTTTACACAATGGATTATATGACAATATATTAAAATTAAGCACATTGTCAAAGAATAAACCAGAGGTTTCCAAACTTTTTGGCTCTTGATGTCTCAGCAAAAGCAGTGTGTGGCTGGATGTCACATTTCAGATGTTGTGATAGTAGTTTCTTTTTCCTTCTAAACTTCTCACATGGTTTCATTTCAGCAAATTTCTAACTGATCAAATATAGATTAGAT